AAGATCCATTATTCATATTTGTATATTGCAGCGGCTAATTTTCCAAAGTCCATGGAATTTTTTTTTAGGAATATGTAAAGTCCCTCGTTGCTGGCCAGGATCCATTGCACATATGCCCATAAATTCAGGCAGCTATGTACATACTTGCTATTGGCTGTATACATACGTTGGGGTAGGTTACGTATGTACATGTAAAATACCCATATTTGTTGTGTTTTAAAATGCGGCAACTAGTGGCTAATTCTGTTGTCAATTTTAAAGATGGTTAAATTAGATTAATGCCATTAAATTGTGTCACTTGTTGCTGATTTGGGTCTATGAAAACATATGCACATACATTCAGGCAGCTGTGTACATACTTGCAGGTGGTTAAGTACGTACGTTGAGGTAGGTTATGTATGTACATGTAAAATACACCTATTTTGGTGTATTTTGGATTGCGGCAACAAGTGGCTAATTCAGTTGTCAATTATAGATGATTCAGGGTGAATTTTGCCATTAATTTGTGTCCCTCTTTGCCAGTCTAAATCCATTTTACATATGCAGATACCATCACACAGCTATGCACATACTTGCAGTTGTTTGTGTACATACATTGGGGTAGGTAATGTATGTACATACATGTAAAATGCCAATGTTTTGATGTATTTTTAACAGTGGCAGCAAGTGTCTAATTCAAATGGCAATTTTATTGGTAATTCAAGTTGATTAAAGTCATTAATTTATGCCATTTTTAGTTGACCCGGGTGCCCATAAATTCGGGCAACTAAGTGCATACTTGCTGTTGGCTGTGTGCATACGTTGAGATAGGTGATGTATGTACATATGAAATACGCATGTTATGATGTATTTTTTTTTTTAACTGTGCAAGAGTGAATAGTTAAAATGCCAATTTTTATGATGATTAGAGGTGATTAGTGCCATTATTTTATGTCCCTTGCTGTTGGCCCAGATCCATGGGTCGTATACGCATACATTCAAGCAGTTATGTACATACTTGCAGGTGGCTGTGCACATACTTAGGGGTGGGTTTTGTATGTACGTATGAAGTGCACATATTTTGTATGTTTTGCTGCAGCAGTTCGCTGGTCCAAGTAGCCATTAGTTAGTAGAAGATTAGCGCCAGTATAACCCAGGTTGGTCACAGACTGAGCCAACTGGGAGTGAGCCAATAGAGAGATGAAAAATACTCAGGAGAAGTGGATGGCAACGTAATCTTATATTATAATAATATTTTAACAAATAATAGTATGATTCTCTCTCTTCATTAGAGAATGGCAAAAGTGGCTAAAACTAGGATTAATGGTAATTAACAAAAACGGATGGCATATTCGGCCAAGTCTACTCCTCGTCATGGAGCTTTAATAAAGAAAAATAAAAAGAAGAAATAATACGGGGATTCTGGTCCCTAGTCCTTGTCCAGGTCGGCACTCATTTGTTGTCGTCTGCTGGCCCTTCAGGAATGTCCATTTTACTTATGGAAATGATCGTGGCGAAACATTCAAGTAGGGCGCCTAATGTAGCGTACGCCGTATTGAGCCTGAACATGATATCACGTGGAAATTCATCTGAGTTTGGACCATCAGTATTCGGCAAATAGGCGGTGGCGGAGATGCTCCGCATTCTCTCAATAACCTGCTGACAAAGCGTTTTCTTGTCTGGTCGAGCAGGGCCTGGGCTGGCGTCCGCCGCAGCGCTCGGCATAGGCGGTGGTTCCTGGGCCGCTTGGGTAGGCTCCTGGGCTGGTTGGGCTGGTTCAGTGGCCGCTTGAGTTGGTTCCTTGGCCTCTTGGGTTGACTCTTGGGCTGCTTGAGCTGGTTCAATGGCCGCTTGAAGTGGTTCCTTAGCCGCTTGTATAGGTTCCTGGGGCGCATTTAATAATTTCTGTGGCGAATGCGGTCTTGAGGCCCGTCGACCACCAATGCCAGCCATTTCACGTTCGGCCATCAAGCTTTGAAGATGCTCCGCTCTCCTTTTGCGACGTTGAAATTCCGGGCATCCTTTGTAAAGGGCCACGTGCCGACCCCCGCAATTACAACAGCGCGATGGGTCAGCACGGGTCTTGGTACAAGTGGTGGTCGCATGAGGGCGGGCGCACTTCATGCAAGTGAACGGGCGCCGACACGTTTCAATGCATGCCTGCGATGGGCACCAATAGGACTGTTTCCGCTGCTAGAGCGGGTACAGCTTTTTATTTGTTTAACATACAGTAATTACTTATACTAATACATTTTATACAAATATTAACTAATATAGGAAGCAATTAACAACAGGCTTATATATATAAATGAATCACTAACAGTCATGTAAACATTCAGGAACAAAATTTAGATTAACATTAAAGAATAATACAGATGGATTTACTGGAGTAATTTAAATTTATACAGATTTAATATAGAAAATTAATATAGACTAAGAAAATAAAATCCAAACTTCGACCTGAATCCTGGAGGCCAAATCAGAGGTCAGAGAGCTGGGATAGTGAAGTTAGAATTGGAAAGCCAGTACACCACGGCGAAGTAGTTGGTTGGGAGATACCACAGGAGTAAAAAAAAAAAAGATTAGGTATCCAATACTCAGAGATTGAAGATTAGGTAATTAGAATTCACAGATGAGGCCAAGTAGCATGGTCGCATAGGATTAACAGCAGTATAGATGTGTAACAGATTCATTAAGTAGAGGCAGCAGATTCGTGATAGTAAACATATAGAGCATTGAGTGTAACGTCCAGGCAGTGATTTACAGTCCTGAGGGCCAAGTCAGTGATCACAGACAAGGAGGTAGAGAAAGTATTGGAAAGCCAGTGCGCCAAGGCGAAGTATCAGGATAAGACATCTAATAGCTGAGTCAAATAGTTAATAGCCAGAAGAGGGTACCTGAGATTATAGAGAGTAGTTAAAAAGAGAAAGGTATGGTTTTGCTGCCTTTCCCGACAAATCAGTGTCATAAGTATCTTATTAGTTTGAGTTTGCCTGACCAGTCAAGGGTCAGATAGTGTTTCCAAATCCAAATGCTTAGCAACAAGTTCCTGAAATAACTGGGAACATTGTTTCCAAAAAGAAATCCAAATTCTATGAATATAGTGTATATTGGTCTCATTCTAACAGCAGAGTAGAGGGCATAGGTTTGTATATGTGAATGGCACGAAGAAGAAGAAAATTTTCCGTGGCCATTATTGTTTACATTTGGCAAGCAGGAGGCGTGAAAAGTAAAATATTCATACTTATATTGGATTTGTGGAAGCATGACAAATATGTTGTGGCTAATTCCTTTATTATAATTGTAATCCAGTAACAGGAGTCAAGGGTCCTTGGCGTATCCAGCCATATCATCATTGAAGTGGACAGACAGCCTTGGTAATACAGGTAGGTGAATAGATGATTTTGATTTCTTTATTCCAGATTTGGCCAGATTAATCTTGGGTTCATGAGTCAATTCAAATTGAGGCCGAGAACACAAGATGCACCCTGGCAGCGACTACATCACAATCCCCTGCAAGAAGCCGCAGGGCAAGCAGCTCACAACACAATTGGAGCACTGTTTTGAATATGTCAACAATGCACAGGATGACTATTGGTTGGTGTTCCAGACAGTAAATACAGCCAGATTAATATTGAAGAATGTGGACACTGAAGAGCTACTAGTGGAATCAGAGAGACAGCATACGAATTATTTGAAGAAGGTATAGTAATTATGTTTTTCCTGTATTAATAAGATTTGATAATGGTTTAAAACATTTACAATTAGCAGAAACTAACTGGCTGACTCATCAACAAAAGCTGCTAGAGCAGGTGGCGAAAACACACCCGGAAACAGTGAAGTCATGAACAAGCACTTCCAAGATGTTCCGATCAATTCCTGATTTCTGGAACCTTCCCCAGCGCGCAGCAGCACCACAAAGGAGTCCAGAGACAGTGGAATCTCAATCAATCACTGAATAATACTGGCCAATTCCTGATTTGCTGTGCCGATTACCAGCAGATAGCAGCACTATTAAGAGTCCTCCAGAATAATTTATTAACCATAGCGTCGAAGGATGCATCAAGTGATCCCATTCCGGTTTAAGATGCTCACTTTTCACTCAGATTATTTATTAGATCCAAATTCCTTGTTTTAAATCAAACTATTGTTCAATTTAAAAATATGAGAAAGCAGGAGATGATTTATTGTTGTGAAAGTAGCTGCCGCAGTGGAGGAGAATATTTGTAAATTTGTTCTGTTTGAATCCTTGTTTTAAGTTAAACTATTGTGTAATTAAAAATATAATAAAGTAGTAGATGATCCAGAAAAGTAAAACGGTTGCTGTTGTTGTGGGAGTGGTTTCCACAGTGGAAGAATATTTGTAAATTTGTTCTATTTGAATTTAGGTATATCCAAGCAAGGCTGCCAGTCTGCCGCTGAGTTCAGTGCGTGCTTCGACAACAGATTTAGTATTGCGCAGGTCATGTATGTCTAACAGATTTAGTATTGCGTAGGTCATGTATGTCTAACAGATTTAGTAGTTTTACAGGTTTAGAGTTTTCTAAATTAGTAATTGCGTGAATTCAGGTTAGAATTGGCTGCATACGGTAAGTAAAAGTAATAACAGCAAGACATCTATTTTCAAAGAATTATTAGATATTAGTAATATTGTGAACGTGGATTTGAATTGAGTCGAGAGTGCAGAAATTAACAGGAACTTGGCAAGCCTGATACAATTAGAAATCCTATATAGTTGTGGCAAAAAATGGAAGCGCCAAAGTAGACACTCATTTTCCTGGAATAAAAATTTTTAAGCAGAACATCAGCCAGGAAAACGCAACTGCTAATACAAGTGATTCCACCAAGGCACGCAGATGAGAAATGCAAAATGTTGCAAAATGAACCATTGAATAAATCAAAGTATTGTTTTGAGGAGTAGTTTTTATAAAGTATTGGGTATATATTTATGTTTTTAATTAAAGAGTAGTTTATAATGGATTAAACATATGTTTGTATTTTTTTAAAAAAGAATATAAAAGTTAGAATGGATCCATGTTTTGGAAAGTTTTGACCAATTTCGTTAGGGAATCTACTTTCTTAGTGAGTTTCTTGACGATCCGATTACTGCGTTGGACAGCGCCAAGCAGGTCCTCTTCCAACGATGAATCCTCAGAAGAAGACGCTCCAAAAGAAATATCCGAGTTTTTAAAGGCACCAATTCTGTACACGAATGCATCATCCGATGAATAGCTAGAATCCAATTGGGCCGATGCAGGCGACCGGCGAGAGGGTTTCAGAAGTTTGAGTGCCCGGCAGGATATCCTAGGTGGAGATTCAGCCAGGCAGGAAGATGGACTCGAGATGCGTCGCTGCGGTGAAGGGCAGCTGGAGTCAGGTTTAATGGTGTCAGGTGTCGAGGAAATTCGGCGAGGTGGCTTGGAAGATACAAGAGCATGTCGGGACGTAGTTGGAGGCGACGGTGATCTGCGGGATGGTGAGTTGGAATCATGACGGCGAGGCGTAGAGTGGTCAGGGCCAGTGTGGGCTGACATGAGTGACCGGCTAGGTGTCTTTGGGAAATCAATCATTCGGACTGATGTTGTGGGTGGAGACGAAGTACGATGAAATGATGAGTAATTTTCACAGCGCTGAGGTGTGGGGTGGGTGGAGCTGACTTGGGCGAGTATTTGGGCCCAGCGAGGTGGCTTTGTTGAATCAGTTTTCCGGCTTGGCGTAGTTGGTGGTCGTGAGGATTCGCTAGACGAAGAGTCAGAATCGTGGCACTGAGATGGCTTTGCTGCTTCGATTGCATGACGAGAAGTTGTCGGTGGAGACAAGGATCGATTGGAGTCAAAACGACGAGTCGATGAACTAGTGAGCCCTTGGAGATCGTTTCGAGCAGGCAGCGGGCGATTGGCCAAGTAGCATTCCAATGCTTCTATGAATACCTTGCATCCCCTAAAGTTGGCAACGTGTGCGCCGCCACAGTTCACGCATTTGGGGGTTGCAGATTTTGGACGATCGCAGCACGTTGAGCGGTGAGGGCCGGCACATTTAAGGCAGGCGTAGTCACGGAGACAATAGTTTTTGGTGTGCCCGTATCTTTGGCAACGATGGCACATGTTGGGTTCGTCTCGCTTCCGCTGGCGCTCAATGGAAATACGCCTATCTCCAAGCTTGGTAATGGCAAGAAAAGAGTCAATCCGCTCCAAATCAAAGGGCGTCAGTGCGATGACGAAGATGTCCATTGGTGTACCGTCACGATATGATTTGAGGTTTTTTATATAACAAATAGTGAAGTTGAGTTTACCAAACTCTCTTTGTATATGAGAGATGGAAGTGTCGTGACGAAGCCCACGGATAATGAATCGTCGGTTGGTATTTGATTGATGGAAGAATGAGTGGGCCTGCAGACCAGCACTGTACAGTTTAGATAGAACTCGAGAGTGTTCTTCTTTTGTGTCACAGCTAATTTTAACTCTGTCCCGATTAATGCAGAGAACTCCGTGCTGCCGGTTCAAAGGGCGACGAGGATTTAGGAGTCTTCTAATGTCATCTACGGAGGTGACATTGTAAACGATGATTGGTGGAATGAAGACCTCCTGGTCAGTGAAAGTGGCCATTACTGGGTCGTATTGGTACTGCACGAGAAATTTTGCGTCTGAATACAAATAGGGTTTGCGAGCGAATGGAGGGCAAAGCCAACATGAAAAAGTAGAGTTGTAGCTTAATGAAATAAACTACGCATTAGAGAGATGTAAACGAGAACAAAGAGCGAGACTTTTAGAGAGAGAGTAAGTACAGTTGACATGTATATATGACATGCATAGATCCTTGCGTGTGGGAGTTATTCATGGATTAAAAGAGAGACAGTGAGAGAGCCAGCAGTAAGGTATGGATCATCAGCATAAGTATTCATAAGAAATTCATGTAAGTAATTTGTAATCAATTTAGTAGCAGCAGATATAGCATTGTTAGATCCGCTCAGTTTATAAGGGATTAATTCCATATTCTGTAGTTGAGTCATAGGCATACAGGAGGTCAATGTTATAAAACTTACAATGATTCATATTATAGAATATCCAGTGTTTATTAAAAATGGTTTGTTGGGATAAAACATTAATTGTCAACAGCTGAGGGCAGCTTGGGGCCAGCAAAAATTGTTTGAAAGAGAGTGATGAAAGAATCCAGTTTCTTACCCAACTCCCCTACAGAGGACACACTCTGTTTCATTAATAATAAAAGGTCATCATTTGCTGGCAAGGGAGTGGTCCAATAATTTTGAGGACGGCCCGTTGGAGTAGTTAAGGCTGCATGAGTTTGTTTTGGGTGGTAAGAGCCCTCAGGTATGAGTGATTGACTGGCATTGGAGGTGGTACGCATAACATTATTTTGGTTGGAAGCAGGTTTGTTATGAGTGAATCGTTGCTCTCTACTAAGCTGTTGTTTTTCAATGCATGCCTGCGATGGGCACCAATAGGACTGTTTCCGCTACTAGAGCGGGTTCAGCTTTTTATTTGTTTAACGTACAGTAATTACTTATACTAATACATTTTATACAAATATTAACTAATATAGAAAGCAATTAACAACAGGCTTATATATGTAAATGAATCATTAACAGTCATGTGAGAAATGCAGGAATGGATTTGGAATAACATTAAAGAATAATACAAATGGATTTACTAGAATGACTTAAAATTTATACAGGCTTAATATAGGAATTTCAGTTGACTAAGAAAGTGGAATCCAAGCTACGACCTAAATCCTGGAGGCCAAATCAGAGGTCAGAGGGCTGGGATGATAGAGATTGAATTGAAGAGCCGATACCCAATGGCAAAGTAGTTTGTTGGAGGCTACCGCAGAAGTTAGGAGATTAGGTATCCAATAGATTAATAAGACGCAGATGTATATAAGTGTATCCGGGCAACTTGGTGGTTTAGAATTAACGGCAGGAATATAGAAGTCACAAAAGATCGCTTATATGTAGTAATACAGATAAATTAACAGATTCATAAAGTTATAGTGGTGGGTTCATAATTGAGTTAGCTAAATGAAAAGTATATTGACACATTAAGCATAGCATCCAAGCGGTGATTTGAAGTCCTGAGGGCCAAGTCAGAGGTCACAGCACGAGGAGGTGAAGAACGTATTGGAGAGCCGGTGCACCAGGGCGGAGTATCAAGATAAAACATCTCCAAGAATAGAGGGTACCTGAGATTTAAGGAGAAGTAAGAAAGGAGAAAGGTATGGCTTTACTGCCTTTCCCGACAATCAGTGTCATAAGTATCTTATTAGTTTTGAGTTTGCCTGGCCAGTCAAGAGCCAGATAATGTTTCCAAATCCAAATGTTAAGCAATTCAATGCATGCCTGCGATGGGCACCAATAGGACTGTTTCCACTACTAGAGCGGGTACAGCTTTTTATTTGTTTAACATACAGTAATTACTTATACTAATACATTTTATACAAATATTAACTAATATAGGAAGCAATTAACAACAGGCTTATATATATAAATGAATCACTAACAGTCATGTAAACATTCAGGAACAAAATTTAGATTAACATTAAAGAATAATACAGATGGATTTACTGGAGTAATTTAAATTTATACAGATTTAATATAGAAAATTAATATAGACTAAGAAAATAAAATCCAAACTTCGACCTGAATCCTGGAGGCCAAATCAGAGGTCAGAGAGCTGGGATAGTGAAGTTAGAATTGGAAAGCCAGTACACCACGGCGAAGTAGTTGGTTGGGAGATACCACAGGAGTAAAAAAGAAAAAAGATTAGGTATCCAATACTCAGAGATTGAAGATTAGGTAATTAGAATTCACAGATGAGGCCAAGTAGCATGGTCGCATAGGATTAACAGCAGTATAGATGTGTAACAGATTCATTAAGTAGAGGCAGCAGATTCGTGATAGTAAACATATAGAGCATTGAGTGTAACGTCCAGGCAGTGATTTATAGTCCTGAGGGCCAAGTCAGTGATCACAGACAAGGAGGTAGAGAAAGTATTGGAAAGCCAGTGCGCCAAGGCGAAGTATCAGGATAAGACATCTAATAGCTGAGTCAAATAGTTAATAGCCAGAAGAGGGTACCTGAGATTATGAGAGTAGTTAAAAAGAAGGTATGGTTTTGCTGCCTTTCCCGACAAATCAGTGTCATAAGTATCTTATTAGTTTGAGTTTGCCTGACCAGTCAAGGGTCAGATAGTGTTTCCAAATCCAAATGCTTAGCAACAAGTTGCTGAAATAACTGGGAACATTGTTTCCAAAAAGAAATCCAAATTCTATGAATATAGTGTATATTGGTCTCATTCTAACAGCAGAGTAGAGGGCATAGGTTTGTATATGTGAATGGCACGAAGAAGAAGAAAATTTTCCGTGGCCATTATTGTTTACATTTGGCAAGCAGGAGGCGTGAAAAGAAAAACATTCATACTTATATTGGATTTGTGGAAGCATGACAAATATGTTGTGGCTAATTCCTTTATTATAATTGTAATCCAGTAACAGGAGTCAAGGGTCCTTGGCGTATCCAGCCATATCATCATTGAAGTGGACAGACAGCCTTGGTAATACAGGTAGGTGAATAGATGATTTTGATTTCTTTATTCCAGATTTGGCCAGATTAATCTTGGGTTCATGAGTCAATTCAATTGAGGCCGAGAACACAAGATGCACCCTGGCAGCGACTACATCACAATCCCCTGCAAGAAGCCGCAGGGCAAGCAGCTCACAACACAATTGGAGCACTATTTTGAATATGTCAACAATGCACAGGATGACTATTGGTTGGTGTTCCAGACAGTAAATACAGCCAGATTAATATTGAAGAATGTGGACACTGAAGAGCTACTAGTGGAATCAGAGAGACAGCATACGAATTATTTGAAGAAGGTATAGTAATTATGTTTTTCCTGTATTAATAAGATTTGATAATGGTTTAAAACATTTACAATTAGCAGAAACTAACTGGCTGACCCATCAACAAAAGCTGCTAGAGCAGGTGGCGAAAACACACCCGGAAACAGTGAAGTCATGAACAAGCACTTCCAGGATGTTCCGATCAAATCCTGATTTCTGGAACCTTCCCCAGCACGCAGCAGCACCACAAAGGAGTCCAGAGACAGTGGAATCTCAATCAATCACTGAATAATACTGGCTAATTCCTGATTTGCTGTGCCGATTACCAGCAGATAGCAGCACTATTAAGAGTCCTCCAGAATAATTTATTAACCATAGCGTCGAAGGATGCATCAAGTGATCCCATTCCGGTTTAAGATGCTCACTTTTCACTCAGATTATTTATTAGATCCAAATTCCTTGTTTTAAATCAAACTATTGTTCAATTTAAAAATATGAGAAAGCAGGAGATGATTTATTGTCGTGAAAGTAGCTGCCGCAGTGGAGGAGAATATTTGTTAATTTGTTCTGTTTGAATCCTTGTTTTAAGTTAAACTATTGTGTAATTAAAAATATAATAAAGTAGTAGATGATCCAGAAAAGTAAAACGGTTGCTGTTGTTGTGGGAGTGGTTTCCACAGTGGAAGAATATTTGTAAATTTGTTCTATTTGAATTTAGGTATATCCAAGCAAGGCTGCCAGTCTGCCGCTGAGTTCAGTGCGTGCTTCGACAACAGATTTAGTATTGCGCAGGTCATGTATGTCTAACAGATTTAGTATTGCGTAGGTCATGTATGTCTAACAGATTTAGTAGTTTTACAGGTTTAGAGTTTTCTAAATTAGTAATTGCGTGAATTCAGGTTAGAATTGGCTGCATACGGTAAGTAAAAGTAATAACAGCAAGACATCTATTTTCAAAGAATTATTAGATATTAGTAATATTGTGAACGTGGATTTGAATTGAGTCGAGAGTGCAGAAATTAACAGGAACTTGGCAAGCCTGATACAATTAGAAATCCTATATAGTTGTGGCAAAAAATGGAAGCGCCAAAGTAGACACTCATTTTCCTGGAATAAAAAATTTTTTAAGCAGCACATCAGCCAGGAAAACGCAACTGCTAATACAAGTGATTCCACCAAGGCACGCAGATGAGAAATGCAAAATGTTGCAAAATGAACCATTGAATAAATCAAAGTATTGTTTTGAGGAGTAGTTTTTATAAAGTATTGGGTATATATTTATGTTTTTAATTAAAGAGTAGTTTATAATGGATTAAACATATGTTTGTATTTTTTTAAAAAAGAATATAAAAGTTAGAATGGATCCATGTTTTGGAAAGTTTTGACCAATTTCGTTAGGGAATCTACTTTCTTAGTGAGTTTCTTGACGATCCGATTACTGCGTTGGACAGCGCCAAGCAGGTCCTCTTCCAACGATGAATCCTCAGAAGAAGACGCTCCAAAAGAAATATCCGAGTTTTTAAAGGCACCAATTCTGTACACGAATGCATCATCCGATGAATAGCTAGAATCCAATTGGGCCGATGCAGGCGACCGGCGAGAGGGTTTTAGAAGTTTGAGTGCCCGGCAGGATATCCTAGGTGGAGATTCAGCCAGGCAGGAAGATGGACTCGAGATGCGTCGCTGCGGTGAAGGGCAGCTGGAGTCAGGTTTAATGGTGTCAGGTGTCGAGGAAATTCGGCGAGG